CACAACAAGACAATCTGGTTTTATTAACTGAGTTGTTGATGTACATTGGCCACAAAGACGTTTCGAGCGTTAGCCCTTCGTCAGAGCGAATGATCTGTTTAAACAGATCTTAAATCTTTGCTCTAATTAAATAATTTAGCAAGCCAAATTTGAATACCTGTTTCATGTAATTGTAGATAAAAATATCAATTTCTCCTTTTAGAAAGCTTTTGTTAGGGACGAAACTCTATGGGAATTCCCGTGAATTCGCCACTATACATACCGATTTGGTTCCTTGGTAGAAAGATAAAACGTAAATAAGAAATCAAGCCCTCACTGGAACAGTCTTAGAACTTCTGAGTTTCCTCGGTAGACTCCAAGGCTTTTGTACGATGACCAATGATATCTGTCCTATTGCGACTATGTTTCGTCTCTTTCTTAGATTCACCCAATCTAATATGTGCAGTCAAAGTGTTCTTTACTCAAGATGTTAGTTTCATTTTGCTAACACTTAAATTTCTTTCAGCATCTTTGCCAGGGAAGTGATAGAGGCAAGAAGGTAAAAGTCTACAGTAAATGTTAGCCTTTAGCCTTAAGAGAGTTTCGTCATCGAGCCCTTGTCATCACGTTAAGCTTCAAGGAGACTACGACATAATCCTTCAACAAACAACGAGAGCGGAAAATGAAGAATATCAAAACAGATTGTAAATGGAGAACTTTAGCAATTAACACAGGACGCGAGGCAGCCTTGGTTGATGACAGTAATCATTGCATAATAATAATATTAGGAATAATAACAATCATTACAAAAAAGATATAGATCGAAAAAATGAAAATGAGCGAAAACCTATTCTAAAAACATGCTTTTCTAATGACCTCGAAATATTTGTTTTCTATTTATCTCTCTTGATGTAAAAAAATAACTAGATAACTACTTTCATAAATCAATAAAGTATTGCATTGTCAAAGTAATGCAATACACACCTGGTAAATATCAAAGTTGCTGGAGCATTTCATATGTGTTTCTTTAAAATTTTATGAATTACTGGTGTTTTTTTCTTTTTCAGAGCTCCTCCCGTTGTTCAGGCCAGGTAAATTCTGCTTTATTATTGTTACATGGAATTTTGGAAGAATTTTAAGCAGGGTTATATACGACATATGATTAGAGTCTGGGCAGAAGAGAGGATCTGCAAAGTGTCACGAGGAGTTTGACAAGAGTTCATGCCACATCCATTTTGATGCATGATGTTTTATTTTTGCCTTTTTCAGAACATCTCCCGCACTACCTTCCGGTGGGGAAGTAGTTCTTCGTTCAGAACCGAGGCAGTTTCTTTTTCCTTTTTTAACAATCTTAATCCCCAAGAGAGGATCTCTAACTAACCAATCCTGTGTCACAAGGATTCTGACAGGAGTTTAAATAACATCTATACTAATGGAAAATTTAAAAGGAAAAACATTTTTTTTTATTTTGGCCTCTTTCAGGACACCTCCCATACAACCTCCCCCAGTGATGGTGGTAGTAGATTCTCCACCACCATCAAAACACGGCTGTGTAGACTTTTGTTTCAAGTGTGAAAGCGGCCACAGCTGGTACGATTTGCAAGGGAAAGGTAGGTATTCAAATGCTTTCAGAGCCTCACTTGCCACGGCTTTTTGTAGCTTATAAAAGAAGAAGAGGCGAGTAAGACCTATTAAGCATTCAGAACGGTCTGATCAAATCATTCCTTGATCAAAATCGACATTATTCATGTACTTATACTTATCAATCCGCCAACGTATTTATCTATCGATTTATACATTTTCAAATTCATTTTTAAAAAAAAATGTATTTATTCATTCATTTAATCATTCATTCATGTCCTTTGTTATTTACCTTCAGAGTTGAATTGCATTGATGCAGCGTTCTTAAACGCCTAATTTACGAATAAGAAAAAAAAAACTTAACAATTAGATTATAAGATACTTATAGAGCAAGGTCTGTACAGGATAGCAACATCCGAAAATTAATATGTTGAGTTTTTTCTCACTAAAACTATTGTAAGAAAATGTTATTGTTCTCGTTTGTTACAGCCGAAACGCCTCATACCGTTGAACGAAAAAATGGAAAGATCCGTTTTCATGTTTGGTATTCAAGATGTTCCCGAAATTAGCATCTCTTAAGTCACCTCCTCTTTGCAAATAAACACTCGCAGAATGTAGAACCTCTAGTGTTTGGATTTCTGCAGTGTGAGGTGTAATATAAGCACTTGCCAAAGAGAGCCTGAAAAAATTCAGGCATCAACGGGATTCGAACCCAGGCATCTCAGATACTAGCTGAGCGCTCTACCAACTACCAACTGAGCTGCGAAGCCACACGTTGGGGGAGACGAATTTTTAGGCTAAGAAAATATTTTCAATTGACTAAGTTTCAAAACTCTAATTTGCTTCATCATTTTTCAGGTTTATGCATTGTCCTGTTGCTGCTTTTGGGTTATTTGATCTTTGGGGTTATCGCTTTAGCATTTTTTGTGTTGTATTGTGTTGGCGAGTGCCTCAAGTCATTTGGAAGTGACTGAGAAATGGATCACATCATTGGTTTATCTATGGAGATGAATTTAAATTACATTAATATTCCATTATCTATCTAAAAGTTTTGTGCTTAAATAATTTGGGTTTTCATTTCTTCGAATTTGGCACTCCTGAGCAAATTTACTTCGGGTCAGTCAGATCAAGGTAGCATTCACAAGCTTCCTACCTAATTCCCCCCAGGGCTCTTGTTATTCTAAAGACCCCCCCCCCCCCTCCATTATCAATCAATTTTCTATGGTCCGCACTCTATACTCTATTATCGACTACCTGTATCCGCTACATTCCGCTGTAAACCACGTGATCCTCTCGAAATCCTCTAAAAACCCCCTCCCTACCCTCCTCAGGCGATTAATTATGACCTGTCGCTAAGGACAATTTTTTTTGTCCAGTTTTTTGTTGTCTTTTCGATGCAAACTGTCCTGTTACAGGCGATCAAGTGCTAAACTGTTCCATGCATCATCAAAAAAATTACCTCAGTTTCTTACTCAGCTTCTAACAAAGCTGTTTTCATATTCAGTACAAAGCTAACAAATGAACTTAACTCGTACAGCATTATACTAGGTTGTTAGAACAGCAATGCTATTACATAGTTTAGTATATAAGAGAGTATTTCCAGCAAGCTTTAAGAATTATTTGAATAAAGTTTCTCAAAATAAAATTACGCATTGATTTATGACGACATACTGACGCATTAAGCCCCCATCGTCGTTACTGATTGGCTGCAACCAACCAGGGTCCTCCTTTTCCTGAAATACAAAAACTCAAAGTTGTTGGTCAGTAGAGTGTAGTCACACCTTAACGATTCGACTTGGAAATGAACAGCAACCTGCAGGCCGAAGAGGCTATTAAGAAAGAGCTCATCGATGAAGTTCCATTGGAAAACAAGACACAAGTCGTTGCTACAGAGCAAGTCTTAGTTCAGCTGATAACACAAAAAAAGGTTCTCAAAGCTTTGATTTAACGAGTTCGGTGATGCAGATGGATCAGTTTACGGCGATAAGATCCGGTTTCTTGTTCAATCCCTGGGTTAGTTAAACTAATAATACTGAAATTTTTTCCATAGCTTTACTCCAATGAGCTTTCCAGCGCAGGTACAAATGTAGATCTGTTTACGGGGATGAAATCTAATCTACTGTTCAACCTTTGTAAATTATAAAGGAGAGTCGTTTTAATCTGTAAGTAAATTCAGTGGTTCAGTGGGAGTTGACCTTATAACCAGATTATAATTAAGCGGAAATGATTCTGAGTTCTGACTCATTTCAATGATTTCTGCTCTCGACCTCTTGGTGAGCTTTCTCAAAACCGAGAGTTCACCATCTCTTGCTCTTCTCTTTCTCCTTAAACTAAACCTTGGAATTCAGTTAATAAGTTTATTGTCATATGACCACTAAGAACCTTTCCGCACTAGCGGACAAGGCTAGAATTGCCCCGACCAAATCAAAGGACAAATTTTGTCATGAAAAATTTTCTTTTAGTCTGTTGCATTCGCATAGAAATTTAAAAGCCGCCAAAATCCATCAGTGCCTGATCTGTTCATAAGACCAGCCAGCATAGTTGCTAAAGGTTCCAACTCCTATTTCCAAGATTTATCCTAAGTCGTTTTAAAGTTTTAGAATCCCCGAGTTTTGCAGCAAAAGATAATTTTTGCTTTTCTAGTGAACTGATTTCAGTTCAATTACACGCTTGTCGTAGCTTATACGACGAATGATTGACAAGTTTACTGCTGTTTTGTTTATTTAGGGCATGTTTACATGGAGGTGAAGGACCCCAGGTAGGTGAGGTAACCCCCCTAGGTGGGGTAACCCGCCTGTCCATATAATTTCTTTATTCTTGATCACGTTTATATGATAGGTGGGGTGACTCACCTAGGCGAGTTGCCCGGTCTGCCAGGTAGGGCAACCCTGTCAGGGTAACCCTGGGCGCCGTGTAAACGTCTCAAGGTGGGGTAACCCGCCTAGCCGGGGTTGCTTTCATGGCAAAAAGCTCAAAAGCGAAACACGTATGTTTTAAAACTTTGTACATTTCCTAGCCGTCTCATGGCAGAAATCAACAGAAACCGCAACGGACACACAAGGAGTGTAAAATGTTCACATTTCGGAATATTTAACGTAGTAAATCGACCATATTTCAAACTATTCCTCATAACGTATTAGTCAACGGTTCCTCGCGTAACCTAACACCACGTAACACAACGCATGATGCTTTCATAAATAAATACATACGTTTCCGAGAAATAATCTTTCGTCTTTCTCGAGACGTGAGCTTGGGACGCCTATGCTCAAACTCCCTGATTGCAAGTGCAACGACAACCTCAAGAATCCTCATCCCAGCAGCACCCCAGGGTTATAAGATTGTATATAAACGCGTTTTATTTTGCGACCAAAACTTGAACTTCTCTTCACCAATCACGTATCATAACCCCCCGGGGACACCTTTATATAAGAGAGCGGGGTGCGCGCCGGGGATTTCAGAAAGGACCCCTATCAAATTATAAAAGGTACCTGAGTCTTATCTGTGTGGGAGTGATAACAATTGATGTCTAACACTAAAAATTACCAATTCAAAAGCAAAAAATTGAAAAATCTAAAAAAAAAACTGCTTGATCGATGTGCTCTAGAGGCTCAAGTCAGATCATTAAAATAGTCCTAGTAGTGCTTATTTCAGGTATTTTATTGAGCGAAAAACACCCTAAAACGTACCAGCTAGGTCTCTGGTGGTCCACCAAACTTTGAGACACCTTAAAAGGTACCAGATCGCTGATTTTGACCCCTTAAAAGTACGACAAGCATCCTCACCCATTTCCGATCGCCCTCTCCCCCTCGGTCAGCACCTAAAATCAAAGATTTGCCCCCCAATGAATAAAAAAAGTGATTTGCCCTAGTCGCCCCATTTCAGAAATCTAATGGTCCGTCCCCAAGATACCTTTTACATAATTCCAAAATGAGTTTCGTTCAAGAACAAAATGAATTTCTTATTGCGTTTACATGCAAGATAATTTAGTCTGTAAAAACAAAATAAATTGTAATGAAGAAAAAATTTGCCTATTTGAGCGGTCGAAAGAAAAGTCATTTTTCGAAAACTGAAATATATTTTCACAAAAAAACTACAACACAATTATTAGGACATATTGGGCTACAAAATATGAAAGTAGGTGTGAAATCGAATTCTGGTTGACTTGCCAAAATATTTCAAATTTGTTCGATGGATGCTGATATCCTCTCTTAAGAGAATCATTTACACTAGTTGCTCTAATGTCAATCATCACCAACATGTCATTACTCAGAAATGATAATTTTGAGCTCAAGACCGCAGATATAAAGCTCGTGACGTCACAGTGTCGCCACCCTTGTCGCTACTGATTGGTTAGAGCTAAACAGGATCCTTCTTTCCCGAAAATACGTAAAGTTCAAGTTACCAGTGGAGTGTAGTCTCACCTTAACGATACGACTTGAAAATGAATAACAACCCGCAAGCCGTAGTGGCTGTTAAGGAAGAGCTCATCGATGAAGTTCGATTGAAAAAGAAGACAGCAGTTGTTGCTACAGAACAAGGGTTAGTTTGTACTGATAACACTGAAAATGTTCTCAAAGCTTTGATTTAACGAGTTTGGTTGTGAAGATGGATCAGTTTACGGCGATGAGATCTGATTTCTTGTTCAATCCCTGTAAAGTAGAATTTGTTTTCTCTTGAAAACGACGATTCTTCCGTAAGTTCTTGCCCTTAATTGAATCCAGTGGTTTAATGCGAGCAAATTTAACAGACTCCATCAGCGGATGACTAATAGGGTGGAAGTAACGCCGAGTTCTGACTAATTTCAACTGCTTATTATTTCAACCTCTTAGTAAGCTTACTCAAACTGTGGCCGAGACTTCATCTAATCCTTTGTACCTGTCATTAAAATCTGCTCTAATTTCTTTAAGTTCGTAGTATTCGTTTGTAAAATTGAAGCAAGCGTATAACATATTTCTTCTCGAAGAAATGTGTAAACTTTGATAACTTCGCTTTGTTTCAATTTTTTGTTTTGGTCTTTACACCCCAATGATTTAGCCACACATTGCGACCTTGTTTGTGAAGCTTTGATATTTTGCTATTAAAACTTTCCTAAGCACAACAAGATAATTTGTTTCAAGTGTGAAAGCAGCTACAACTGGTACGACTTGCAAGGGAAAAGTAGATACTCAAATGCTTTCAGAGCCTCACTTGCTAGGGCTCTTTGTAGCCTATAAATGTGGAACTTTTTTCAAGAAAGAAGAGGCAAGCAAAACCTATTAGGCATTCAGAACGGTCTGGTCAAATCAGTCCTTGATCAAAATCGACATTATTAATTTACTTATACTTATCAATCCGCCAACGTATCTATCGATTTATACATTTTCAAATTCGTTTATGAATTTATTCGTTCATTAAATCATTCGTTCAGGTCCTTAGTTATTTACTCTCGGAGTTGAATAACATTGATGCAGCGTTCTGGCGTTCTTCGATTTGAACGGCTAATATACGGATAAGAAAAAGAAATTTAAAAATTAAGTTATAAGATTTTATAGAGCAAGGTCCGTATAGGATAGCAACATCCAAAGATTAATATGTTGAGTTTTTCCCCATTAAAACTATTATTTACAAAATGTTACTGTTCTCGTTTGTTACTGCCGAAACGCCTCCGATCGTTGACCAAAAAATAGAAAGATCCGTTTTCGTGTTTGGCATTCAAGATGTTACTGAAGTTAGCAACTCTTAATTCGCCTCGCCTTTCCAAACCAACATTTGCAGAATGTAGAACCTCTAGTGTTTGGATTTCTGCAGCGAAGCCAAGATTCAAAAGAAGAGATGATCCTCTTTGGTGAGGTGTAATATTAGCACTTGCCGAAGAGAGACTGAAAAAATCCAGGCATCAACGGGATTAGAACCCAGGCCTCTCAGATACTAGCTGGGCGCTTCTCAGTACAAAGCTAAGAAATGAAGTTAACTCGTACAGCATTATACATGGTTGTTAGAACAGCAGTTTAGTGTATAAG